ATTATCTGGGTGATCCAACTGATCCGGATTACTATGGATCAGCCACTGATCTATCCTGATCCTGTAACCCTAACCCTTGCTTATGTAAGCCTTAGTTCTTGAGATGTTGAATCCTTGTCTTTCCGGACAGTTGTTCCGGGTGTTCTGGCTGGTGACCTGCATGTTGGATGGGTCATAACACTTCGGCAGCTGTTCATTTCTTTTTCTTTCGAGGTGTAATGAATGTACTGCAATATCCGAAGATCTGAAGTATACAAAGAGTTTATACTAATAAAAGCAGTATCAAAGTAGAATTTACTAAATACGGAACTATAACCGAGTAATCCGTACAAGTGCTAATTATTCGCTTTTAAAGCTATTTAAGTATACAATAAATAAATACTTAGATTGATAATTAAAGAACTATATTTTAGTAGTTTATCTAGTAATAATAAGTATATTCTTATATATTTAGCTCTTTAGTATGAATTACTGTTTTTGTAATATCTTGTAAATTACTATAGTAATTCAGTAAGCTTGGTAAGCTATGCTTCTAGTAATTCTAATAATTCATCTTTATTTAGTTTTAACTCTTGATTATCTAATTCTTTTTTAAGTATATTTATGCTTTTAAGCTGTATTCTCTATTTTTCTTGCTAACAAAGCTTGTTCTATGATTTGCATGCTAAATAAATTATAATATTATCTTTCTTCTATTAGTTATTATTCTTAATAATCTTTTATAAGTTTCTTAGCAAGTTTTTTATTTGCTAAATTATATCTTTCTAATCAAGATATTGAATAGAATTGATAAATTCTTTTCTAAGAAAACTGAATAGCATAATTATTTTTTTTTAGCTATTAATCAGTTCAGTTTCAAAGTTATACTCTATACTGCATATACTTCTTAGGATCTGATATGCAAGATAATAAATAATACAAAACATTATTTGTTATAACCCATCCAACATGCAGGTCACAAAACAGGTCACAAGTAACAAGAACCAGGTATTAAGAACCCAACGTTCTGACTAACCATTGATTACATAACCCAGGGTTAGGGATACAACAGGGATGGATCACTGGATCATTAGGTAATCCAGTGAGCCCGGATCACCTGGATCAGTAGTAAGCTAAGGTGAGCTATACTGAAGAGCTGAATATATAAGGATACATTCATTACCATTAGATAGATTTAGTATATAGCTCTTCAGTTATCAATCTAAATATCAGATTACTCTTCTACTCTGATAGCTTCAAAAGCAGTAAATACTTGTACAGTTATCTTAGTTGTATTTCTGTATTCAAGATCTGTACTTGATACTGCTTTTATTAGCATAAATCTCTTTGTATACTTTAGAATCTTCGGATTACTGCAATACTTATTACATTTTGACAACTCTTATTCAAGAATGGTTCAGTATTACCCTCTTGAGCAATACGGAATACAATAGCTCCTCAGGGATTCTCTTCGTTCTCATGCGCTCCTACTTAGAAAGAACTGATCAACCAGATATATCAGCTCATTCAGCATATTCAGAATCTGCACAACTAACATAACAGCAAGCTTAAAGCATTATCATTGCTAACCAGCAAGCTCAGCTAGCTTAACAAGCTCAGCAGGCATAGTTTACTTCTACAATCACTAATAATGCTGAAAAAGCATATAAGATAAACAAGCTTGCTATATATAATAGCAACTAAAAAATACTATATGAATTTCTTACTTATTATAGAGCATACTTTTTGTATTATACAATCCAGTTTACTAAGAAATCTAAGAAAACTATTCTTGCAAGAACTTATCTTAAGAAGAATATTCTTATCTAATATAAGCCTTCTCTATATAACTATTTAGAGTATTAGAACAATTCTAATATATATATTCAGAATATTAAGAATATATTCAATTTCTTTGCAAGCTTTGAAAAAGCTTTTAAGAAAATCTTTAGTAATTTTAACAAAGAATATATTACAGCTTAGCAACTTATAAATCTCAAGCAAACTAAATTAGCTTCTGCTCATATAATCAGATTCAAGCAACTTTTAATATAACTTCTATAGAAAGATAAGAATCTTATAGAATATTATTATAAGGAATTCAAGAATAATATTAAAAATGAAATCTCTAAGCAGAATTAGCTAGAGAACTTTGCAATATTCTCTAACTAAATAATCCGTATTAATAACTATTTATACGAATAATAAATAAAGAAATTCAAGAAGGAAGAAAACTAGATTTGAAGATTTTCAGCTAATACAAATAAGAAATTTCAAAACAAAAATAGCAGTTAATATAGCAATACAGCTCAAAGCAATACTATACATACTGATTCTATAGAACTCAATATAATTAATAAATAATATAGCAGAAGAAATAATATTACTTATTATAATTGCAATAAATAGGAATATATATTATATAATTATTATTAATTCCGAAAGAACAAATAGCAACTAGTTTAGAAAGAATACTAAGTAAATATTGCTTAGCAACAGAAACTTAATTAACTAAGCAAAAATATTCTCTTAAAGCAAGTATTGAACTCTATTGATTATAGAAGTTTCAGCTGAACATTCTGCTATAATAATAACTGCTTAATATACTTCTCGAATAAGAAAGGCTTAGAATAGTTTCTTTAGAGATCTAGATGCTATAAGCAGATAGTAATAGAAGAGTGAGAGTATATGCCTAGCATAACTATAAGCAGCAATAACTCAAACTGCTTCAATATTACTGAATAAAGTATTTAAGTATTAAAGAAAGAATTTAGTAATAATACTCTTTATTATTTCTTATTATTTATACTAAGCACTATAACTAGAAATATGAATAAGAAATAATATTTTCTTAGCTATTAGTATAAATATCTAAATAATACTAAAAATATCTTTTAGATAGTAGGAGAATCAAACTAGAGCAAACAATCTAGTAATTTATCAGAGTTTTCTATAAATAGCAAACTTAATAGCTCTACAAAAATTCGGAAAGAAAGATTCTTCTTTAGCATTGGATAGAATAAGGAAACAATATGAATTAAATATCTCATTTATAAGATAGAGCTAAAGAAGCTCTTTATCTGCATTCTCTTGCAAAATATCAAAATATAATAAGATAAAAACCCTTGAATCAGCTTACTTTACAACTTATACTATAAGCTAGCATAAATCTCCTATACTTATTATAGCTGTAGAGTACATTTCTCGGAAAAGATGCAATATAAATAGTTTCCTATTAGAGAATCAGAATAAATTCTTCAGGCTATTGAGAAATAAGAGCTTTGCTTTAGAGAAGTTCTCAATAAGCAGTACGATAATGTATATATCAGGCTACTAAACAACTGCTTCAGGCAATATATGAATAAAAAGATAGAATAATAGCAATGCAGAACAATACTCTGCATAATTCACATTAATAATAAGATTTGTAATTAGCATTAATAGAAAAAAGATTAGGAATAATAATAATATGAGCAAAAGCAAGCTAAAAAGCTTGCTTAAAAAGCAGCGAAGCAAGCTCAGAGGAAGAACAAGTAGCTCTTAATAATCTCAAAAAGCTAGAATTGCTTATAAGAGAATTGCAGATGATCAAACTAGAACGATTTCTATATAAAGCTTTTAAAGCAAACTATACTTATATTAAGCTTAATATATATATTCAAGAATACAAGTATAGTATATTATTAAATAGTAGCGCTTAGAGAAACTTTATATTTCTATACATTATCAATTAAGCATAACTATAATAGAAATGAAAGAAGCAGCTATATACTCTCAGCACTATAGAAGAATAATCTATTGCATATAATTAAGAAATAATCGATAAGAAGACTAATTATCTATTTATCTTGATTTAAAAATACATAACTAGAGTTTTCTTTAATATTATGAATATAGTATAGCATAAGCTGATTATAGAATTTTCATAGCTTAAGAAGTATAATTCTCAAATCAATTGAACTACTAGCTAGATCTTATGAGAACAGGCTATATCCAGAGAGATAGTTGCAATCAACAGCGCAGAATGAAAGTTAGTTATTAAAGAATACTCAGGAAAAGAAGCTTTAAACAACTTCATATATATCTTCAAGCTAGCAGAGCTAGCAGTTCAAGAAGAAGGATCTAGTAATAAGCAAATCCAAATAGTACTAGAGCGCTAATAGGTTAGCAAAATAACAGAAGCGAGGCTCTCAGCAAGTCGGTCCGCTCTGGAGCAACAAGGAAAAGCTTCAGAATGTGGATTATAAGTTTACACAAAAATCTCGAAACTAGGCTCTCAAGCAGTCAGTCCAGCTCAGAGCGAACGCTTAAGGCTCCTAAAAACGCTACCAAAAACAACGGATGAAAAGAAGCATGCTTAACAGTATCTACTATTCCTTTAGATAGCAGAAACAGTATATGAATCAGAATCAATACTCGCAAGCATATTATGAAAATACTATAAATTCAAGAAATTATTTCAGAAAGAATTGGATACAGGATTACTAAAATACAGCTTATACAATTACAAGATTCTGCTACAAGAAGAAAAATAATTCAAGTTCTTTCTTATCTATAAACTAGATAAAGCATAACTAGAAATGCTTAAGAAATATCTCAATAAAAATCTTAGAAAGAAATATATATAATTATTGCAATTATTAGCAGAATATTTCATTCTATTTATACTCAAGAAGAATAGCAAGCTTAAGCTATATATTAATTATAAGCAATTTAATAATATTATAATTAAGAACTAATATTCATTACTACTTATCAAGAAATTGTAAGATAGATTGCAAGAAGTATAATAGTTTATAGCTCTAGATTTGAAAGAAGCTTATAATCTAATTAGAATAAAGAAAGAAGAAGAATGGAAGATTGCTTTCAGAATATACTACAGATATTACGAATATTTAATTATATTCTTTAGTTTAATGAATACTCCAGCTTCATTTCAAAAAATAATCAATCATATTCTATATAAGTATCTAAATTAATTTGTTATTATATATCTCGATAATATTCTTATCTATTCTTGAATACTAAAGGAATACAAAGAATATATGGAAATAATATTGCAAATGCTTCAAGATGCAAAACTTCTTATAGAACTTGCAAAGAGTTATTTTTATATACAAAAAGTTAACTATCTTAGATTTATAATTAAATCAGAATATATCAAGCTATAGAAAAATAAGGTAGAAGCTGTTAGAAATTAGCTAATTCCTAGAAATGTTAGGGATATTAGATTTTTTCTTGGATATATTAATTTCTATAAGCAGTTTATTAAGAATTACAGTTGAATTATATATCCTTTTACAAATCTTATCAAAAAGAAGCAGCTTTTCGAATGAATTTCTAAGATATAAGAAGCTTTTGATAAGATTATTAGATATATTATATTAGAACTAATTCTGTATAAAGCAGATTTCTATAAATCTTTTGAAGTTGAAATTGATGCATCCGGATATATACTTGGGGAATAACTTGGTTAGCAAAACAATCAAGAATGTCTAAGGATTGTAAGCAACTTTTCAAGGAAATTGAATAGCTTAGAAGTTAACTACAGAATCTCAGATTAGAAACTCATAGCAATAATGAAAGCCTTTGAGAAATAGCAATACTATCTTATTAGCGCATAATATCCGATTATAATTCACTCGGATTATAAAAATCTAATTATATTCATAATAATTAAAGTCTTAAATAAGTAATAAGTTAAATAAGCAGAATTCCTCTTATAGTTCAATTTCAGAATTATATACTGCAAGAGCTTAGAAAATAAATAAACAGATACTCTTAGTAGAAAATCAGATTATTAAAATATAGATTCCTCAGATATACAGAATATCTTTGCTCAAGATAAATCAGAGAATCTCATTAATGCATATAGAGAGCTAAATGCTGCTTTCAGAATTGAACTCTTGGAAAAGAATTCAGAATTAATAATTCCAAACAAACAAGATAACTATATCAAGAATATATATAGCACATCAGTATATAGATATCAGAGAATTAAAGCAATTTATAAATACATTAGAAAATACTGGAATTTATTAAGCTTTAGAAAAAGAATTGAGAATATTCTATAATAATGCAATAGCTGCAAGAAGAATAAAGCAGAAAGATATAAGCTTTATAAACTACTGCATTCCTTATTAATATTTACAATTATTTAGCAATCTATTAATCTAGATTTTATTATTAAGCTATTTCTCTTATAAGAATTCTTAATTAAAGTATAATATAATAGCATTCTAATAATAGTTTGCAAACTGAGCAAGTATACTTATTTTCTTCTCTATAAGGAAAGCAATACAGCAGAAGAACTTGCATATACATTTCTTAGAACAATTATTACTAATTATAATATGCTAGAAGAAGTAATCTCTAATAGAAACAGAAAATTTAATTTAAAGTTTTAAACTTTGCTTATAAAACAGCTTAGAATATACTATAGAATATTTATAGCATTTCATCTGCAAACAGATAAATAAATAGAAAGAATAAATCAGATTATTAAATAATATTTTCAATATTATATCAATCAGAAATAAAATAATTAGATTAATCTATTACTTCTTGCAAAGTTTGCTTATAATAGCACAGATATAAGCATAATAAAGAAATTATTATTCTTTATATTTTATAAATATAATCCAACAGCTTATTACAAGATATTACTAGAAGCAGATGCAAAAGCTGCAAATAAAAGAATTAAGAAGATTAAGAAGATTTAGGAAGAATTTCAGTTAGAACTATAATTTATTCAGAAATGAATAATATAGTATGCAAACTCCAAAAGAATTAAGAAATCAATCTTATAGAAGAGAAATAAGATTTATCTATTTTGAAAAAATATAAAAATAATTAGATCTAGCAATAAACTCGATTATAAGAAGTTAGAATTATTCAAAATCTTGCAATAGATTTCTCTAGTTAATTACAAGTTAGCATTATCTCATAGGATGAGAATATATCCGGTTTTTCATATCTTACTGCTGAAACTAGCAGCATAAGAAATATTAATAGATAATACAGTAGAAGTAGAAAATAGCAAACTAGAGTATAAGATAGAAAAGATTCTTAAGTACAGAGGCATAGATAGTACAAAGGAATATCTTATCAAATGGAAAGATTACTCAGCAAGCGAAAATTCGTAAGAGCTACAGAAAAATGTTAAAAACGCTCAGGAAAAAGTAGCTGAATATTGAAAAAGGAAAGAAACCAGTACCTAGAACAACTGCTCCATCCCGGACTGAGATCCAGGAGCTTCAGAAATCTCACTCTTCAGAAAACCCGACCAGTTTACTACAGAATTCCTTACATTTACAGAATTCCAGTCAAACTCTTTAAAAGAAGAATCTCCAGCAGCTATAGCTAACTTCTCAAATATAGCCTTCTGTATAGCAATAGCAGTACAGTAATATTTCTCTTCAGCCTTCTTAGCTTCGATATAATCCAGCTTCTTCACATTATTAATACTGTAACGAATAGCGCGCATCATCTTTTCAAACTACATTTTTTTCTGCTTGCACAGCTGAAAAATCTTCTCCTCAGCAGTCTGCAGCTCATCCTCCAGCTCTTAGTGCTAAATAGCAATTTTATACAACTTCGAAGAACTAACGCTCTGTATATCGCATCGGGAACAATTGAGTCGAATGCATTTAGCGCAACAGGAAGAATCGAGAGAAGAAACCTGATAGGAAGGAATACCCCAACCCTTACAAAATGAACAGAAAGGCATAGTAAAGGAATTTTGAAGAATAGTGGAAAGAAGACTTTTACATTCCTCGGTTTTTCGAGAACAGGACTTGGAAATACAAAACTTGTTGATTCTGTTTAACATCTCAATTAAGAAAACAAGATTATACATATGAAGAACTTGCTAGAATATTTACAGAAAATCATTGAGAATAATAACTAATAGAAGAGAAATAATATTATAATCCATCCAACATGCAGATTACAAAACAGATTACAAGTAACAAGAACTAGATATTAAGAATCCAACGTTCTAACTAACTATTGATTACATAATCCAGGGTTAGAGATATAACAGGGATGGATCACTGAATCATTAGGTAATCCAGTAAGCTCGGATCATCTGAATCAGTAGTAAGCTAAGATAAGCTATACTGAAGAGCTGGATATATAAGAATACATTTATTACCATTAGATAGATTTAGTATATAGCTCTTCAGTTATCAATCTAAGTATCAGATTACTTTCCTACTCTGATAGCTCCAAAGGCAGTGAATACTTGCACAGTTATCTCAGTTGTGTTTCCGTATTCAAGGCCTGTACTTGACACTGCTCTTGTTAGCATAAACCCCTTTGTGTACTTTGGAATCTTCGGATTACTGCAGTGCTCATTACATTATTCTTAATATATCTATTATGCTTATTCTTGCAATAGTTATAGAGTTTCTATTTCTACTTATATATATCTTCTTCTCTCTTTTTCCATGCTTGCTTTAATAATCTTCTTTCTTTTAGTTTTGCATATTATAGCGAAGAATAAGAAGCTTGAATTGAAGGAATAGAAAGCAAAAATAGAGTTGAAGAAAGCTTATTATTAAGTATTGAAGATTCTAAATAAAGCTTGTATAAAGATTTCGAAGTTTGCTGCTTATCTTGCTTATTTATGCATTTAATACAAGTTTTCTGCTTTATATAATACTTAGATAATAAATATAAGCTTTGAATTCCTTGATAAGTTGAATAAGCAGAAATATTATAAGAAGAAGAAGTATAGTCTTGCTGTTATAACCCATCCAACATGCAGGTCACAAGCAAGCAAGGACCAGGTGTTAGAAACCCAACGTTCCGATTAAGCACTGACTATGTAATCCAGGGTTAGGGTTATAAGTATAACCAATCAGAATAAATAGCTTAGGATATGCGCTATTCAGAGCTAGCGGAATAGCTTGGATATGTTGCTATTCAGCATATCCATACTGAAGAGCAGATTATATAAGAATACATTCATTACTACTAGATAAACTATCAGAATATAGCTCTTCAGTTATTAATCTAAGTATTCATTTATTATATACTTGAATAGCTCTAAAGATAAATAATCAGCACTTGTACGGATTATAGTTATATTCTGTATTCAATAGATTCTACTTTGATACTGCTCTTATTAGCATAAACTCTTTGTATACTTCAGATCTTTGGATATTACAGTGCATTCATTATATTTTAATAATTCTTATTCAAAAATAGTTCAATATTATTCTCTTGAATAATATGGAATATAATAGCTTTAGAAACTTCTTCTTTATTCTTATATTAATTTATGCAGGAGAAGCTGATCAACCAGATTTGCTTTTTCTCTTAGCGTATTGAAGAACTTCAGCTGAGCTAGCATTAGCAGAAAGGCATTATTCGAGCTTAGCAGAAGCAGATTCAGTATAGTTCTCAGATTTTCATATATAAGAGCTATAAGATCAATAAGCTTATTATATATAACGATATTCAGGAACTTCTTTAGAGATTTCTTATTTATTATAAGATATATTTCTTGTATAATGCTTCTTAATTTATTATAAAATCCGAAAAAGTTATTCTTGCTAAAACTTGCTTTGAAAAGAATGCTTTTATCTAATATAAACCTTCTTTCTGCAATCATCTGAAATATGCTAATAATCTCAATATATATACTAGAACTATTAAGAAAATATTTGATTCTTTCAAAAGCTTTGAAAAAGCTTTCAAGAATATCTTTAATAATTCTAATAAAGAATATATAATAGCTAAATAACTGATAAATCTTAAGCAGATTAAGTTAGTATTAGCTTATATAATTAAGTTTAAGTAATTTGCTATATAATTCTTATAGAAAAACAAGAATCTCATTGAATATTATTATAAGAAACTTAAGAATGAAATTAAGAATAAGATTGCAAAATAAGAATAGCTTGAAGATTTTGCAGTATTCTTGAATGCAGCTATTAGAATAAACAACTATTTCTACAAATAATAAATAGAAAAGTTTAAGAAGAGAGAAAGCTAATTTATATAGCAATTGTAGCTAAATATCAGCAAAAAGTTTCAATTCTAAAGCTAGAATAAAGATCTTTAGCAGAATATAGCATAGAATAGGAGTACTTATGCTGAATTCATGGAATTAAATGCAATTATAAGAAAAATATATAATTGAAATTATTATAATTGCAATAAATTAGGCTATATTATATGAGACTATTGCTAGCTTAAGAAGCTTTAATAATGGAAATCTGTTTTCAAAGAATAATAGCTTAATATAATACAAATATAGCAATCCAATTAATTGAGCAAAAATATTTCCTTGGAGCAAGTATTAAACTCTATTAATTACAGAAATCTCAGCTGAATATTCTGCTATAATAATAACTGCTTAATATATCTTTCAAATAAGAAAAGTTTAGAATAGTTTCCGAAAGCATTATAAAGGAAGACTAAGCAACTAGCAATAGGAAGAAAGGAACTAATCTATAATACAGTTCTGAATAATAGCAATTCAAATTACTTTAGTATCTTTGAGAAAGAATTAGTTTTCAGAAGAAATAACAAAGAAAGATATCCCTTGAAATATTATAAGTAATAACAAACGAAATAGCTCTTATAAGCATTTGAAGAAACATTCCTCAATAAGCAACTGAATAGCTTATTAAAGCTTATTAATAGTTCATTAGAAACTATTAATCCCAGTAAAGCAAACTTAGCAATGCTTTGCAGTACACCCGATTTCGCTAGCATATATTACTATTCCTAGTATAAGAACAGGAACAGATTATCCAAGTTATTGAGGAATCTAGCATCAGATTCAGAGAAGTTCTTAAAATAAGGCATAATAATGCATATATTAAGCTACTGATGAATAGCTTTTGAAACTGTATTAATAGCAGAACGAAATAGTAGCAGTATTAGATAATCAACTATATTATTTATATAAGCAATAAGATTTGTAACTAGTATAATAAGCAAGAAGCTAGAAAGAAATATTAGTATAAATAGCAATAAGCTAGGAAGCTTGCTTAGAAAGCAGTATAATAAGCTCAGATTTCAAAAGGAAAGAATTGTTTGTAATGAGATTACAAATAATTAGAGCTTAAAGATTCCTATATATTGTATATAGCAGAAATAAAGTATATATAAAACTTAATGCTTATATTTATAGAAATAAATACAGAATCTTATTGAATAGCAGCGCTTAAGAAAACTTTATATTCTTTAGAATCATTAATAAAGTATATATTAATTAGCATTAAAAAAAGAAAATCTATAATCTTCTTATTATAAAAGAACAAATTATTATATATAATTAAGATATAATTAATATAAAGATTAATTATCTATTAGTCTTAATTTAAGATTATATAATATTTATTGCTTTTGATATTATAAATATAGTAAAATATAAATTAATTTTAAATATTCTTTAGCTTAAGCAGCATAATTCTTAAATTAATTAAACTACTAGCTAAATCTTTTAGAAATAAGCTATATTTAACAGAATAATTGCAATTAATAGTATAGAACTGAATTTAATTATTAAAGAATATTTAAGAAAAAAAGCTTTAAATAGATTTATATATATTTTCAAATTAGCAGAGCTGCTAACAGAAGAAGAAGAATCTAGCAGAAAGAATGCTATTATTATACTAGAATTCTTATAAGTTATAGAAAAAAGAATGCAGATATTAATATAAAACAATTAATCTATATTAGAATAATATACTACAAATTAGAATAAAGAATAGAAATTACATTCTAGAAAGATTGCTGTAGCTTGAACTAGTAAATAGCAATTCAGTAAAAAAAAGAAAGCAATAATTCTCTATATAATATAAGAAAGAAAGAATACTTAATAGTATTTATTATTTCTCCAGATAGCAGAAATAGAATATAAACTGAAATCAATACTTGCAAATATATTGCAAGAATATTATAAATTCAAGAAATTATTCTAAGAAGAATTGAATATAGAATTATTAGAATATAGCTTTTATAACTATAAAATTCTATTATAAGAAGAAAAATAGCTTAAGTTTTTCCTTATTTATAGATTAGATAAAGTATAATTCAAAGTACTTAGAGAATATCTTAATGAAAATTTTAAAAAGAAATATATATAATTATTGCAATTACTAGCAGAATACTCTATTCTATTTATACTTAAAAAGAATAGCAAGCTTTAGCTATATATTGATTATAAATAGCTTAATAATATTATAATTAAAAACTAATATTTATTATTACTTATTAAGAAGCTATAAAATAGATTGCAAGAAGCATAGTAATTTATAGCTTTAAATCTTAAAAGAGCTTATAATCTAATTAAAATAAAGAAAGAAAAGAAATGAAAAACTACTTTTAGAATATATTACAAATATTATAAATATTTGATTATGCTCTTTGATTTAACGAATATCTTAGCTTTATTTCAAGAAATAATTAATTATATTCTATATAAGCATCTTAATTAGTTCATTATTGCATATCTTAATAATATTCTTATTTATTCTCGAATACTAAAAGAATATAAGAAGTATATGGAAATAATATTGTAAATGCTTCAGAATGCAAAACTTTTTATAAAATCTGCAAAGAGTTACTTTTATATATAGAAAGTTGATTATCTCGGATTTACAATTAAGCTAAAATGTATTAAGCTACAGAAAGATAAGATAAAAGCTATTAGAAATTAGCTAATCCTTAGGAATGTTAGAAATATTAGATTTTTTCTTGAATATATTAACTTTTATAAATAGTTTATTAAGAACTATAGCTGAATTGCATATTCTCTTATAAATCTTACTAAAAAGAAGCAATTCTTTGAATGGATTTCCAAGATATAGA